CCTCTGAGAGGAGAGGAAATTTGATTAGTGTTAAGGAAAGCTAACTATAAGAGAAATCATTGAGATCGTGCAGAAGTTCAGTCTTACTTTAGGGTAGGGAAAAGTTGTGGGTTACTCATAGTTAGAACATACAGCGGATAGGCTGGCATGTGTGATGATATACTTTCGACAGCACATTTATGCAATCCGTGCAAAACGTTGCCTCCATGCGGGATTGAACCGCAGACCTTCTGTTTACGAGACAGACGCTCTGCCACTGAGCTATAGAGGCCCGTGCTTGGATGTACATTCCATCTGCTATTTTTCCTTTCCTTTTCAGGCTTTATTCCTGAAATGGCATTTTTCCGAGTGATTCCTTTTGTGTTATGTGCCTCGCTTTGTGAACCACTTTCGTGAAGCAGCGTGGCGCAGTGGAAGCGTGCTGGGCCCATAACCCAGAGGTCGGTGGATCGAAACCACTCGCTGCTAACATTTTTGTAACGAAATACTCAGCAACCTTATATTCGACATTGGGAGCAAGGCGAACTGTTATTCGCTTATGACCATGAGAAATCCAGTAATGAGAAGAGTAAGGAGAAGTGCAGGGGTGTGTGCAGCGATGTCCGAGTAGGTTCGAACCCTGCTCACAGCGTCAATTTTGCAAGGATTTTAGGAACCTTCCGTGCACAATCTACTTCTGTGATGGCATGGGCTCTTGTTTTAGGTCCGCTCTCCTCCCTGCCCTGCAATATCATTTCACCACCCCTACTTGTAAAACTGATGAGGAGTCCTTAAAGTGATTAACAAGGAATACTCAATATTGCCTCATCTGTTCATGATACATTAGTAATGGTGGGATAACAACAATTTCTTTGTTTAACATTGATATAATATACAATAATTACTGTGTTTAACATTGAAATCATATCACCATAGATGACTTGAAAGCGCGCCCAAAAGATTTTAAAAAGTGATGGGTTTGGTGGCATCACAGAACTTGATCACTCGCTGCATGCCAGATGCCACTATGACTTTTCTAGACAGAACCCAGACCAAACAGACATGAAGCTTCAAAGACAAAGCTTTTGCCATCGCTCAATGCCTTTTTGGAAGCGCCACGCCTTCTATTTCCATTCAGAATCGCAGTTTCAGTTTGGACGAGATGCGACCTATACGATAACATGTGGAATATCTGCAAGCCAGTGTTTCTTCCTGTCCAAATCTGATACCAATTTAGGGCGCAGTTTGCTGACGGGGGGGAGGCATTTTACACTTTCTTTGCTTCACTAGCAAGTCTCACTCTGGTGAAACCTGTGAGCTCTTGTGAAGCTGGAGCAAGCTCGTCAAGCCATCATGGTAAAACCTGTCAACTCGACAAAAGGCTGTTTAGATGGGTCGACACGTCGATGGGAAGTCGTTAAAGTGCAAAATGCCCTCCCCCTCCTCCACCGCCCTAACAGCGCCCCAATTTGGTGTTATCGAGTGCAAAATGCCCCTTCCCCTCCGCCCAAACAGCGCCCCAATTTAGTATTATCGGAGCTTAGATGGCTTGGCTGGCTTGTTCGGATATTAATCCTCTGACTGCACGTGGGGTATGCGGGCTACTAAGAAAATTTATCGTTATCGGAGCTTAGAAGGCTTGGTTGGTCCGAGCAGGAGCCGATCCAAGATCTGACCCTCTGACTGCACGTGTAGAAAGCGTACCACGAGCCTCTACGAACACTTCAACCTAATAACAAGCATAAGAAGATAAATAAACATTAGAAGGTGTGTGAGTCTGAACATTTATACATATGTGGAGCTAGTGATCATTCACAGCTCATCCTCATCAATGCTATCGTTTCGTGCTGCCTTGGGAACGCTGCGATTCCGATGTGTAGGCGATCTTCGTCCATTCAACCAAAATGTTTTCATTACGCCTTTACCCTGTAAATAGACAAATGTTATCGTTTCTTTGATAAATATGAATTATTCAACGTCCAACACCCAACCTTGATGATAATTTCACCACGGCTTTCTAAAGCATATTCACCATGATAGTGCTGCTGTAGCAGCATGAAGGCACTCTCGCTGAGATGAATTTTACCAGCTGAAACCACATTATCAGTCAATGGAATGTGCTATGTGCCTCGGGAGGGGCCGCTACTGAGCGCCTTTTAGCCACTTCATATTCTGAGATGGCTGATGTCCGACCATTCGCTTATTTTTCCTATAATATCAGCTGTAAGAGGCGGAGGTGGTGTAGTGACAAGCGGCGCGTTTATCACTCGCGCGCCGCCGGGCGAACCTCGGGTCGACACACGCCCAAGCCAACCACGCCTTCTACCCTACGGGAACAGAAAATTGGTAGCAGATTCGTCTTGGGAGGATAAAACCCTGACTTGTACATCGCGCCTGCGCAGCACGTAACAGCCATCGCTCAATAAGCCACTACGATTCTGAATGGAAGTAGAATGCGTGCCGCATCCCACAAAGGGATTGATCAACGGCGAAAACTCTATCCTTTATCTTTTTATCAGCTGTAAAGTAGGGAGGGCGAAAAACGCTCCCCTCTCGAGGGACATTTGGGGATAGAAGATATCACTACTCCAGCGTTCCCAAGCACTTTTGACCAGAAAGAGTGGCACTCTACTGCCACTGCAAGCTACAACTTCCTCCAAGCTGCAGGTATTTTCCATCATGTCTTCTTGCATACTCGGCAGGATAGTCATAACTCATGTTACTGTTTCCGATTACCGACTGGACATCCGTGGGATGTCAAACGAGCAAATGGACGGCCGCCTACCCGTTTTCTGTGAACCCCTGTAGAGACCCCTCAATAGGTGTCCCGGTGTATCCTACTGCGAGAACCGCTTACAGGACAAATACGGCTCCCTTCCCTCCACTTCGGGATCCCCAAAGAACGAAGTGTGTGGCTGTATAGCAAGGTGACGATATAGTTTTGACGAGGCCTTTATGCGCTCTGCAAAACGCTGTTGCCTCCATGCGGGATTGAACCGCAGACCTTCTGTTTACGAGACAGACGCTCTGCCACTGAGCTATAGAGGACCCCACCTCGCACGTCATCCCTTCAGCTGTTTCTTCCTCTCACTTCTAGGATGGCCACGAAGTATACGGGATGGGCCCTTTAGTCCTGAGAGGGCGCATTTCGACGACAGGGGAAGGGCGTTTTGCACTCTCCCAAATGGGCACCAGTGCCGGAAGCCCTTGACCGCTTTTGTCTCCTTCAAGCCTTTGAGCAGCCTCTGCTCATCGCTCACAAGGACATTCAAATATTCTTTCATTAGACATTAAACATACGTTTTCCGTTGCTTTCCATTCTTGATGCTGTATTAACGGTGTCACCGAATAGACAGT